TTTGGGTTGTTTGTTCAGTTCAGGCTTTCTTAGTGTTGAAGCGAATTTATCAGTGTAGCATAATATAAACATTTTCAATAGGTTGAAGACAGAGAACCGGGTGGAATTTGTCCGGTCTGAACTAACAAAACCGGAGATAGACGTGAAATTCGAAAAGAGAGATAAGACAGTCTTGGTCATTGTTGTCGAGATAACATTGGAGAAGAATGATTTAAAAATCTTTACTAAAACAGAATAATAAACAAAAAACAAGAAGGGAATCAAATAAAACAAAAACAACATTGTTAGCATTGGCGATATACAAATGATTAATACATTTCTCTGTTATCTGCAGGTTAATCTGTAATTTGGTCGTTACGAATCACTTTGCTCTATGTTCACTAGGCTTGTGTATGAATAAGAACTAAATTTTACTTTGCCATAAAGTTTAACGCAAGTTTACACTAATGGCAAAAACTATGCAAAAACTAAACAATATCATGTTACAATTGCCCAATCGACAAAAAGACCTTTTGTACGGCATTTATTGGTCCGCACTTCCTTGCTATGTTTTTAGGCCAAGATGGTTACACCTTAGAAGCAAGTAATTAAGTAAGATGTCATAAAGTCAAAATAATAAAGGATGATTATTTTTGAAGAAGACAGCTTAGTTCTACTCATTATTTTACAATCCTTCATTATCAACAACCAAGACCTTACACAAAAAGAATAATTAATTGAAAGAAGTAACTAAGTAATTGACCACTAAAACGTAAATGGATTCATATTATCAATAATGAATTAACAAACGAACGAAAAAAGATTAATAATCACTCTGAGGATTTCCAGATAGAAAAAAAAACCTTTTTCTAAATTAATACAGTTAATTATTCAAAATCGGGCTGATAAGTCAATAAATCAGCCGCCAACGGAGATCGGCAGTTGAATCTGTCCATCGACAGACATCAGCTTAATGGGCTAATTATGCACAAACAGAAAGTTCGTCGATATCTTGAAATTTTGGGTTTTATAGAGCTGGATCGAGATTTCGCAGCAATCCCTTCGGTGGAAATTTCGATAAAGTTGACAACCTTCAATTTTGATTATTTCGAGATGGTGAGATGCGATCTGGTGTGACGTAGGTTCTCTCAACACGACACAGAAGAATGACACATCTACACGGAAAACAAACACTTTGGGCCCTGAAGATGATCTCATTAAAGGTCGAAACGTTGGCACGGTAAAGAAAATGTTTTCCTGAAACCTTCGTCACACCAGACACGATCTCCAAATAATCATTGGCTAACCGTCACTAAACACAACACACTTCAAATTTGATTGTTTGGAGATGGTGAGATGCGATCTGGTGTGACGTAGGTACTCTCAACACGATACAGAAGAATAACACATCTACAAGGAAAACAAACACTTTGGGCCCTGAAGATGATCTTATTAAAGATCGAAACGTTGGCACGGTAAAGAAAATGTTTTCCTGAAACCTTCGTCACACCAGACACCATCTCCAAATAATCATTGGCTAACCGTCACTAAACACAACACACTTCAAATTTGATGTTGACTTAACTAGAAGGACTCTTTTTGTAACAGTTTAAATCGAAATTTAAGCCTTTGCTTAAAGACGTAACATCTATGATTAAACTAATATAAAATTTATTAAAACACTAAAGAAACTTTGAGTGTTGATTTTCTTCAGTTTTTCTCACAGGGTTTTTCTTAGTGAAAGAGTGCTTTTTAAGGAATCTCCCCTACAGCCTGACAGACTGAAGGGATAAAGAGGCACCTATTTCATAAGTTTTTTTTCGTCCAAGGAAGGGAAATATTTTGGAAATAACGAATCTCCGCTTCCAACGGACCGCCGTCCATGACCGGACCAGTGAGACGGAGGGAAAAAACCGGCCGATTCTCTTCCTCAGAGGGGCGATAACAAAAAAATCCGTGCCCGATCAAAACGGGCACGATGGCCATTTATAAAGCCAAGACAGGAGGGATTTTCTCCCACGGGCCCGTGGCCTATTGGAAGGTAACGGCCGCCCGGAAGATGCAGCTCCACATAATGGAAGAATTTAAGACGACAATGGACTTTTTTTTCTTTGTCGAGATTTTGGACCAATTATCGCATCACCGAAGCCCCGCGTAACTCCATTGTTCGGGCGGAAAATTGAAAACGGTGGTTAATTTATTAAAAACTTTTCTGCCACAAGGTTTTTTGTTAAACCAAAATTTAGGTAAAAATCAGGTCCGAAATAAATAAATTATCATTTATTTATTTACGTTTTTAAGCCAAAGAAACAATAGGATAAAGCTCATTTGATGACAAAATTAAACAATTTACATTTAAAAACACAACACTTCAATGCTAAATTTGTCAAATATGATCTAGAATTGTGCAACAAAATAAAAATTTACACAAAATCTCATATTTATAAATCCGTCTAATCCTAATCGCGCGGATATTTCCAGATGTTATATAACCCAGTAAAGTGGAATCGAATTGATTCTTAATCGCCAGAACGGGAATTCGTTTAACAAGGCGTGTCAAGGATAATTAAACACTTTTTTTTCGCAAATACCTTTCCCCACTGGCTCAGCGTTTAATGCCTTACGTCAAAAATACATTAAACGATAGGAATTTTCTTTCAAGACAGAGTAAAGACTACAAATAGATAAAAGCCTTGAACGAGGAAGGAAATAACTAATAATAAATAAGGCTAACCTTGGATTGCATTCCTTTGAGTAAAATTTTTCAATTTTCCATATATAATTTATTTTTTATAAAAACATATCTCCATGGATTATCCAAAATCTATTCAATTTCATTTATAAATAAGTCACCTTGGATTACGTTCCTTTATGTAAAATCTTTCAATTTTCCATATATAATTTATTTTTTATAAATATATATCGCCATGGATTATCCAAAACCTATTCAATTTCATTTATAAATAAGTCACCTTGGATTACGTTCCTTTATGTAAAATCTTTCAATTTTCCATATATAATTTATTTTTTATAAATATATATCGCCATGGATTATCCAAAACCTATTCAATTTCATTTATAAATAAGTCACCTTGGATTACGTTCCTTTATGTAAAATCTTTCAATTTTCCATATATAATTTATTTTTTATAAATATATATCGCCATGGATTATCCAAAACCTATTCAATTTCATTTATAAATAAGTCACCTTGGATTACGTTCCTTTATGTAAAATCTTTCAATTTTCCATATATAATTTATTTTTTATAAATATATATCTCCATGGATTAACAAAACCTATTCAATTTCATTTATAAATAAGTCATTCTATTAACTTTTGTTTAAAATAAAATGCCCCCTCCCCCGTTTTTTAATAAGCAAATATGGCTTCATATACCAATATTAATACTTATATCAATTTTTTACAATTTCAAATATTATGATTTTAAATTTAAAAAAATCAAGATCAGGATAATTAGAAAGAAAACTTACCAATTTCCTTCATAAATACACTAAAAATTATATTTTTATTATATGCAATGGCCATATTTGATCATATTTAATTATATTGTAATTTAAAACCACAGGCTTTAATATTGTAAATAGGAATGTGTGGTGATTAGTGACCGTTAATCGATATTTATTTGGAAATCGTGAGATGCGGTCTGGTGTGATGTAGGTTTCAGAAAAACATTTTCTTTATCGTGCTAACGTTTCGATATTTATTGAGATCATCTTCCTGAAGACATCACACCAGACCGCATCTCACGATTTCCAAATAAAAATTGTAAATAGGCTTAAAAAAATAAGTAATAAATAAGTTATTTGTGTATTATTTGTGTGTGTGTAGTCCTGTTGAAGAGGGTGTATTTCTAGAAAGTTTTAAGTTTGGTCTTTTAGATTTTTTTTTTCAGTTTTAGGGGTGATAAACTACATTGGACTTCTCTTCCTTAGCTTTGCGTTTCTTTTCTTATCTTTTTCTCGCTTTAAACCTAATATCTTTTATAGATTGCCTTGTTATGATGCTTTACGATATAACGTTAACCCACTCTTTCTCTTTTCTTTATCCTATTGCTAGCCTCTCTCTATCTCAGGGTCTCGTCACTTGTTGATAAAATAACACAAATACAGAGCAACACAGAAAAAAAGATAAAAACATCATATCTAGTTAGCGTTCACACCCAGAGTACGTGATATGCCTCGAGGAAATTGAAGATAAACATTGCCATTCACGCTAATAAATAATATTCACACATCAGACTTTGTTCGCACTACCCCAGAATATCCATTTCTCGGGGTAATTGGTGGATAAGTCATCATTCACACAAATAAATACACTCGTTTCAACAAATATCACATATCACAGAATAGAAGGTACAAATATCTATATACGATTAAAAATGTTTATGGCTCTGAGATATTGGATCAGCGATCTGTGTCTCTTAGTGTTTTTCTTTAGGATTGGCCTTATCCCCGAACGGTTTATAATATATGATACATTCATAGTATGTACCTATGTTTATAAATATAGGTACATAAAGTTTTATGTATGTAGCTATTGTAATTGCTACTCCAATGATCAAATCACCTTAGGGATTTGATCGTAAAGTTTTTCTAGTGACTGTCAATAATGAATGTTCTTGTTTCATATTCACGAAATAAAACCTTTGGATATATTTTCAATTAATTATTCTTTTTATGTAAGTTCTTCGTTGAGATGAAACATTTTCTTTGGATATGCATTAATTTAAAATTTTTGTGGCTTGGTGGCAGTTTGGGTACAAATAAATTTCATGCAATTTCCCGCAATAAAAAAAAGAAAATCTAAAATGACTTATTTTTATAAAAAATCTTAGTCTTTGCCTTACAAAAATAAATAATTAGAAAGCTCTGATGAATTATCTTTTTTATGTTTTAACATAAAATGGTACGGTATTAAGTGTGCTTGGTGTTGTAAGGTCTTGACTTTTTATTTAATACAATTTATTTATTTAAAAGAAAAAAATTATTTAGGCTTACTTTCCGTTCCAGTCGCACTGCTGTCCGACGGGATGAGCTCCGATCCGTCGGAGGAGGAGAGCGAGGAAGAGGGAGAAGAGAAAAGAAGTCGTTGCGACCGTCATATCCCAGCATGTCCGTCGAAGTCGATCATCACTTCACGTTCACACCACTGCGTTTAATCCGACACAAATTTTCAACGGGTACGGACGTCAGACGGTTCAGCATCTGGTGCTCACTCACGACTGAAGGCGCTAGGCAGCTTTTGGTTCGGCTTGGAGGCTCGCTTTCCCCCGCTCCAGGGCTGGCTAGGAAGAAGGGGCACGAAGACAACGTCATTCCGTCAAACTCCTATAGATACACCACTGATTACCACCGATCCTTTCCAACCCTTCTTACCCTTTGGTTTGGGACATTTCTAATAGTAATTTCAATAAATAAATAAGATACACAATCATGAACTTCAACCTTCATCTGGATCTCATCTGTCCTAAGCTAGTGCAAGTTGTACTCAATTTGGAACGATGCATTAAAAACTAAATCAGAATCACGTAAATAACAATAACTGCTGGTTAAATTAATTCAAACAAACTGAAAAATTTCAACTTTCCAATTTTTAATTATTTTGAATGAATGACGTCATTTTCCTCTTTACTAACAACTTGGATGCTACTGTAACTGTATTTTACTGTAACTTTTTTTTTGTAATATTAAGTCAAAAAGTATTATGCTGCCTTCGCGCAATTATTTCAAGTTTATCATATGTCGCTCCACCCCCATTAATTCAAGCTGAATCGCAAGCTGAAAAAACATGTGCACGTGAAATGAAAGAAATAAGTGATGCTATCAGATAACCAGGCAGCTCTAGAGGCTTTTTAAGCTTCTAAGCCTACGAAAAACTAGTCTGGAACCGCAGTTTATTAGGGGATTTCGTCCAACGGAGAAGCAGACTAGCTAAAAAGGGAAGGAACAACATATAGGCCCAAATTACACATCAAAGAACACAAACGTATGCAAAGCATGAGGCAAAAAGACTACTCTTAAAAACAAACCAATGAGAGAAAATGAAAATCCTACTTAACAGAAAGCAACTAAAGCCTCTAACAAGAATATTTACCATAATAACTCTTAAAACTATTAAACTAACTGATGACCAAGTCGATTATGTCTAGACGAGCGATGTGGCCGAAATATAAACAGAGACATATAAACTAAGATTCCATACCCCTTAGAAGAATCCTGTGCTTTAATAAAACAAGCGAAAATCTTCCAGGAAATCTATGGACGGAGATCGTACACAATAAATGCAGGTTTATGCGCTAAAGGAGGAGATCCGTACGACTCCAAATGGAAAAACGTATTACCCTTCAAAACAGACACACACCCATGGTTTGGCCCAAAAGCATTAATAGAAAAATTGAGATAATTTTTACCTTCGAAGGGAACAGATTTTGCTCTGGAAGGCGAAAAAGGTGCCAGGAAAGCCAAAAGGTAACAAATAACTAAGCTGTAACAGTGCAGATTTAAATAAAAATTGGACATCCTTTTTAACACCAGTAACTCGTATTTTATACGCTAGCGGCTTTGTGTTTGAATTTTTGTATCTTGAAATTTTATTTAAGATTAATTAGTTGTATAATGACAAAATTACTTCTTTCAATTAATTAATCTTTTTATTTAAGGTTTTGGTTGATACGAAAAAGCTAGTGTCACAGGGGGATTCGAACCCTCGACCTTCGGCTCTATACCCGGCTGCTCTACACTTGAGCAATCGTGACTTCGATCCAACTCCCCATCTTAACCTACAATCTTTCGAATTTCCCTCCTTTCATGAATGAATGAAATGAAAAATGACAAAAAGGAGGGAAAATTCGAAAGGTTCGGGCATAAATATCCATGTAGTAAGTTTTACTAAGATTATTTTGTACACAAATGTACGTTGCCTCCAGGAGTGAAAGCTAATTAATTATAAAAAATACCAAATTAATTGTTGAAATAAAGGTTCTATGGATTATTAAAAAGAACGTAATTAAAACATAAAAAACATCATTCTTTTTACGTAAGGTCTTGTTTGAGATATAAAAGCCAGTGTCACGAGCACCTTCGGCAAAATACGCTCTACCACTTCAGCTATCGCGACTTCGACCCACTCGGCAAAATAAAATTGAAAATGGCCAAAAGAGGGAAAATTCGAAAGGTTGTAGGTTGAGATGGGGAGCTGGTGTCCGAGTGGATCGAAGTCACGATAGCTCAAGTGGTCGTGGGTTCGAATTCCTCTCGTGACACTAGCTTTTTCATATCAACCAAAACCTTACATAAAAAGATTAATTAATTAATTCTAACTTCAAACGGGCGTTAAGCCCTCCCGTGTGACAGGAATTACTTAATTTTTTTTTTACTATCCCTCCAAACTTGAAGTTCTCCGTTTGATTAAGTACTCAACAATCTATTTATCCTTATTTCAAAAAACTTTAAAAAAAGTGCCGTTATGCGGAAAAGCCACAGTAGCGCCACGTCAGAGGTATAAGCAAGGTGAGACAAGGATGCTTTCCGATAACAAAAATATAAGATGTTAAGTATATAACAATTGTTTTCAGGGAAAGTGACTTTTGAAACATCCAAGTCGATGGAACTGTTTGCAGGCATGAAAATAAAACAGTCGTTAACAGTCAGAAATTGAGAAATTTCAACATTTCCCCTTGAAATCTGCTTCCGAAGAGATTACTGTGGAAAACTACCTGTTCATAAACGCGAATTGGCCCTCCAGAACCCCAGAGTATTAAAAACTTTATGACCGATAATTGTAAATTTTTTCAACCCCGGTAACAACCATCGTTGTATATAGAAGAAAAAGAGTTTAAGCATTTTTCAAATTCTACTGTAATGAGTTTACAATATGAAGTTATTTTTTTCTAGTTCAAATTTAAGCCTTTATTCTCACAATTTTCATTGCTCATATATATTAGGTAAATAATAGTCTCACAGAATCAAAAGGTGGGAAAACTGTCTTGTCAAAATTTACCACCGAGACACTATTTAATAAAGTAAAAAAAAAGACTACTTTTCTTTGCGTCCCAACTATTTTTTATGTGTTATGTATCTATCTTATATAACAAACAATATATCGTGTCTATGGATTCTGATTTATTTAATTCATTCCTCCTTCTTATAGCTTTTTCTTTGTTTCTATCCCACTGTACACTGTAAGATTGTAGTGGGAACACAAACCTCTCATTGCCTCCTTCTCTGCCTTTCTGTCTGTCGTTCGATCTCTCTCACTCCTTTCTCAGTTTTTCAGCATGTCTCTCTCTCTCTCTCTTTCTCTCTCTTTATTTATTTCTCCATTTCTTCTTTCTTTTTACTTGTCTCTCTCCCACCTACCCTCCCTCATTGCCTCTCGCTCTGTCTTTTTGTCTACCTGTCTGTCTGTCACTCTCTCTCTCTCTCTCTCTCTCTCTCCCTCCCTTTTCTCTCAGGTGCTCTCTCTTTCCCGTTAAATGTAAGAAACGCCCGAGAAACCTAATTGTGCAAGCTTAAATCAAACGTTCAACCATTCAATCTCTATATCTCTCCTCTCTAGGAGAAAATTATATCGGACACAAATGAATGTTATCAACTGACAAATTCTATCGGTAAATCAATCTCGTCCGACGTCATCAAAATATTTTGATTTTGCCAGTTGAATTTGGCAGTTATCTGAAATTTCGCTTGTCCGACTGAATTTGTCGTGTATCAACTCAGCTCATTTTCTGCTTCGGTAGTCAGTCCTCCATCCTGCCTTAAATAGACTTGTTAACACAGATAAGGAAGGCGGTTCCACAACGACTAAACAGTACGGCATGATAATTTAGTAAATAAAATATGGGCCCCACCTGGGCGGGCGCATCGGAAAGTGGGACGATTAACATCATCGGAACAACACGGCTGACCCCGTTTGACGCACAGGTGTTTAATAAAGAAAACAATAAAGGACGTTGGGGTGAAAAAAAAGCCGATCGACGTGGGAGATAAGATTATTAACGCGAACCGGGCCGTTATTAACTACACTTTGTGACATTTCACCTCGTTCAGGATGAAGTTTTTCCCACGACTCGTACGAATTAGAATTTTAAAATGTTTGGAGTCTTCCGTAAAGAGGTGTCGCCTGCTTATATCTTTATTCCGTGACATAATGCGAATCATTAAATATCCTTGTATGTTTTATGCCGCTATGAAATTACAAACAAACGTTTAGTTTCTAATGTACTTAGTTTTCCCTCTTCGACGAAGCGCAATAAAAAGGCTAACGAGTTCACATAAAATGCATTTTTTACACCTTGTTCGCATTGAACAGATTAAAAAATAACACAAATGAACAACTTTTCTGGTTGGACAGCCTGACCTCGTTGTTTCCGCCTTTCTCCATGATCGGTGACGGGGTAACAAATAAACAGGCATATAAGTGTGAGAGAGAGATTACCAGAGAGACAGATAGAAGACATGCAGAGGCAGCCTGAGAGAGAGAGAGAGAGAGAGAGAGAGAGAGAGAGAGAGAGAGAGAGAGAGACATATCAAGAGCCAATGAAAGACAGGGTAGGTCGGAGACAGGCAAAGGAAAAACCGAAGGAAGGGAAGAATAAATAAATAAGGAAAGAAAGAAGAGAGAGACAGGCAAATAAATAGAAAGAAAGTAGAGAATAAGGCATGTGTAAAGAGGGAGGAATACTGAAAAAACCGTGGATTAGGCTAATCAGAAAATTGAGATAAAATCCCAATGTAACCAACAGACTGCTTGAAATATGTTGTTTTATATTGCAAAAAAATTTCTCTTCCGAAAGTTAATGTTTATATTATACCGGTCATCAAATACAGGAATGTTCCCTGTGCAATGGAAAACGTGTTACGTTGTACCATTCCATAAAAATGGAGATAGAGAACTTATAAATAATTATAGGCCTATAAGCAAATTATCTGTGATTATTTGAAAATATAGTTTATAATAAAATAAGTCCATTGTTCAAAAGTGTGGATTCGTTAAACATAAGTCAACTTTAACCAATGTACTGTGCTTCCAACAGGACATACTTGATGCATTCAAAGATAATTGCCAAATGGATTTACAGACTTTAGCAAGGCATTTGACAAAGAAGATCTCAACGTCCTAATCAGTAAACTGGAAGCGGTAGGCATACATGGTACAATGTTAAAATGGCATTACGATTTTCTTAGAAATAGAATACAAATGGTCTCCGTAAACAATGCACAATCGGAACCAATAAAAGTATCATCAGGCGGGCATCACTC